ATGATGAAATATGTGCACTCTAATATTTAAAGTGTTCATCTTCAATCTGTGAGCCTGAAACTGACCGAATATTAAAACCTAAATCAGCTCCTGGCAACCAATGACAGCGAACAAACAGATCAGGTCGATACAGTCGATCATACAACCTCACAAATCCCACACATTGAACCAGGAAAAAAACATTCTCAAATCTGTCTATAAAACGTTTTGATAGGAAAATATAATCTGGATCTAATCCGACAAGAGGAATCCCTGTCACACACACACACACCACACCACACACACCAAGTCCCATAAAGAACACATAAAAGAAAAAGTGCCGGTGAGACATAAATCGTTATATCAGCCTTTTTTTACGAGCCGTCGCTCCTCCCTCCTGCCCCACTCAAGTGTAAACAACCTCCTCCCCTGTAAAACCTCCAAGCTACAGATTCTTTCTTTTACTGATCGATACGATGTAATGATGGGCCAACGTTAACAGTTACTGACTGATTCACTGGTCAAACTGGCTCCTCTTCCCTCCTCTTCCCTCCTCCTGTCGCTGCCCTGAACCGACCCGAGTCTTCATCCGCCAGAGTCAGAGTCCTGGTCGGAGCCAGCTGGTCCCTCTTGCTGTTTCCCTAGTAGAGTTTTAAACTCCCCCGCTGTCCTTCCAGCTCCCAGTCCAGGCAGACAGCTAATAGGACGCTATGATAACAGCAGCTAGTACAGTTAGCATATGCAGCAGTAAGAGAACTTTCTGTGGTTACACGCCACTGAACCTGAATAAAATGACAGTTTGGACACAGAGCTGGTGTTTATTCACATTTTAATGCAGCAGTGTTACATATTAGAGCTTTAATAACACTTAATAAATGAGGTCTGTTGTGTCCAAATAACATTTTTGGTGTAATCTGCAATTCTGCATCTTCAAAACAAGGAAGTGAGTTTGGTGACAGGAAACTACAACGATTGGTCAGATTTGGGGAAAAGTTTCTGCGATTGATTGAATTTGCATTAATCGTTGCAACATTGCAACTTCCTGGAGGGACTGTAACGACGTAAAGTCGACAAACTGGAATTAAATCACCAATAATTAAAATACTAAACACATTTAGGTTCACTCAAAACAACTGAGTTACTTCAACAATTCATCTTAAGTTGGGTTTAATATTAATAATAGGAGCCAGTATTCTACTAATATGTTAATAAGCATGTTAATAGTGAATATGTGTTAATAATGACAATATTTGTTATTTCTAGAACACTTATTTGTAAATTGCTTCACAAAAAAATGATATAAAGTTATAAAAGCATTCATTTAAACGGAATTTAAACCTAATTAATCACTTTTACTGTGCACACACACATACAGACGGTCTATAAACAATATGTATTTAAACAATGAGAATAAAGAAGCGACAGGTACGGTGGATGTTGGTTGAGGGTCCTCATATAAACACAGATATTAAAGCTCAGCTGCATATTCAGCTGCTCTTTACCCAGCAGCTCGCTGTTTGTACATCGTGATCTCTGCGCTCATTGTTTCCCGTTGTCTCGAGTCCTCGTTCAGGTTAATCAGATTCTTTATGAGCGTCGGGGGGGGCATTGTTATAAAGTGGGTTTTGTTATTGAAATCAGTCGCGGCATCTTAAAGCAAGAGTGTGAATTTATTTAACAGCGATTATTAATAATGCTGCTTTCACACGGGAGTGTTTAACTCGTCAGATTGATTCAGTTTAACGCACCAACCAGCAGCTGTTGGCACTCGCCGCCATTATGCTTCCTGGTTTCTCTCTGATAAACAGATTTATCTCTTCTTGTTTCTGGTCTTTAATTTAACATACAGTTTTTATCCTGCAGTGGAGAATAAATGGAAGCACATCAGTGTTTTAACCCTCTAACAGCAGACCTCTAAAGCCTCCATCTTTCACATTAACTTTACGTTACGTGTAAATCATGGTGACGATGCTCAGTGGCGCCAGCTGGTGGAGAAGAGCAACTAAAAATTGATTAATGATCCTAAATTGGGGAATTATTTGTGTTACAGCAGGTTATCCAGTAAATATAGATATAACTCTAGAAGAGACTAAAAACAAATAGATTTAAATAGCTTAATGCAGAGGATAGGAAACAACTTTTTATACTCAATAAATATAATAAAATATCTATAGATCAGTGGCTCCCAACCTGGGGGTCGGGACCCTCATTAGGGGTCACCAAAGATTTGTGAGGGGTCGCAAGACCTTCTTGGTTTTAATGAATGGAGATATCCACAGTACCTCAGTGTTTGTTTACTTCGGTACAGTACATTTTCTAATAGAACAAAAACCATCAGGGACAATAAACACTGAATCTTTCAGAAAAGAAGCTTATTAAGTTTGTTTGATTGTTAAGTAATATAGAAAATACATAATACAAACAGAGAATTGTGTAAAAAGTTCCCTAAACAGGAAATAATTTGCTCAGAATTAATCAAATCCAATATACTCTCTCTCTCTCTCTCATCATATGATATTCACGTCTTCCAGAATTAGAGGATAATTTAGGCATCAACATTTTATTTTATCATTTGTTGTTGTTTATTTACGAATTTATTATGCAATAAACCATAAAATAATTCGATTTTGTGCAGCTCAACCATCAAAGATACACTTTTTATTGTATTAGCTGTGTGTTATTCTAGTTACCAATATTTATTATATTCACTTATATTAATTTTAGCAACTTTTTAATAGTCACACAGTTATTTTTTACTAATTTCAGAGTTTATTTGCTCAAATGAATGTGTTTAATCATAACAGGTTGTAGATTTTAAATTCAGTGAATCAAATAAAGTCGT